GTTTCAGAGTGAAGACCCAGGGAGAAGACAGCCCTCTACAAGGCAAAGAGAGTGACCTCAGGAGGAATAGACCCCAAGACACCGTGACCCTTGCCTTCCAGCCTCCAGAGCCATGAGAAAGGAATGTTCTGCTGTTGGAGCTGCCCAGTCTGTGCTCTTTGTGATCAACCCTAACAAATTGAATATAGGCTCTCAGGTTCTTTCCCTGCCTCTCCCCCAACCCCTGCCGCATTCCCAGGAAGAAACAGGAGACAAGTCAAGCGTTCAGCACTTTATTATAGTCACAGAGCACAGGAGAGACCACTTGGGCCTCACCGAAGGCTTGTTTTACCCTTTTCCCCAGAGGAAGTTACTGAGAGGCAACCCCGCCCACCAGGCCGGTGGGAGGGAGGGGGCGAGGGCGGCTGAAAAGCTGAAGCTCAGACTTGATTTGACTCCAGCTTCGTGACTTAGTTTAGCACAGTATCTGGAAAATTGTATGTAGTCAGTGAGTGGAAGCTATTGTTATTGTTGTTGTTATTATTAGGACCCAGTCACATTTCTTCATGGTCAGGCCAGCTCCAGGCTCTGTGTATGAGGCCTGTTAGGAAGACAGGCTGAGACACATGTGGGAGCCACCTGGGAATACGGGATCACGCCCCAATGTGCGGATTCTGGGGCCATGGCGCCTGCTGTCTCTACCAACCCCATGAAAAGCACCAGGAAGAGCTTGAGGAAAGCTCTAGTTTCGCACCTGGACCACGCTCAGACTTTGGCACTCAGTCATCAGCATACCCTAGGTCTGTTCAGAAAGTCTTCGTTTTTTCAGTATTGTAGTTTTTGCTTTTGGTGAAGGAATTGCCAAATAGGTTGTTAACAAATAGGTTGTTACTGCACGTGGAATGAATCCTGGTTCTCCCTGTTGCTATCGGTGTGACCTCAGGCCAGTCACTCCACCTCTCTGAGTCCCACAAATGACCCTGAACTTCAGGGAGCTTTGAGGAGAAGCCCAGGTGTGGAAGTACAGTGCACTGTAAGCGGAGGCATCGTTGGTAAAGAGAGGATGGATGGAAGTAAAGTGGCCACTGGCTCTAAAGTGATTGGGACAGAGGGCGTCTCGGCCAGCATGTGTGTGTGTGCGCGCGCGCGTGGGCATGTGTGTGCATGGCGTGTAGGTGTAGAGAGACCGTGTTCCTGGAGTGGGTGGAGGCAGACATCCCCTCAAGGGGGTGTTCTGAGTTTTTTTTCTTCAAATAGTGTTGGTTTTTTTAAAAATAAAGATTTTATTTATTTAATTTTAGAGAGGGGGAAGGAGGGAGAAAGAGAGGGAGAGAAACATTAATGTGTGGTTGCCTCTCGAGTGCCCCTACTGGGGACCTGGCCTGCAACCCAGGCATGTGTCCTGACTGGGAATTGAAGTGGCAGCCCTTTAGTTTGTAGGCTGGCGCTCAATCCACTGAGCCACACCGGCCAGGGCTCCAAGCTTTGTCTTCTCTACCTTGAAACAAATTTTCATTTTTCTATAGCTGCATTCCAAACTAAACAAAGGCTTATGGTTTTTAGTTTACTTAACTGATTTAATAAACTTTAAAATAAATCTGTGTGCCTTTATTAGTTTATGAATCATGTAGAAAGGATGCTGCGGCCCCTACCACATGGAAGCTGGGTGAGAGTGGGTGGGGACAGGAAGGAACCGGGGCTTCATGGTGTCCTGGTGCAGTCCCAGCTCAGCGGAGTGCCGGACAAACTTCCCAAGAGGGTGACCGTGGAGAAGCTCCCACATCTAGCCTCCCAGGGTGTTACGACATGGACAGAATGGAAAGAAAAGCAACTTAGAGGTCACCGCGGTCCCCAAGCCCTCTTACCTCCAGCGGACGGCTGTCCTCTTGACCCACGTGCAGTGCTTGTGCCGAGCCCCCACGGGGACAGCTCTGGGATGGGAAGGAGGCGGGTCCAGCTGGGAAACCATGACCTCAAGAACAGTATTTCCAGGAATCCCCATCTTAGCATCTAAGGGATTCCTGGGAAAACTGGACCGTGAGGACAAGGTGAGAGCGCGGCCTTCAGCACCAAGGCCCTGTCATGTCCCCAAACGGACCAGCTGGAGTTTTCCTCTGCGTCCAGCTCGTCTGCGGAAGCCAGTGTGGGCACGCCACGGGTTGCAGGACGTGGCTCCAGGAGGCGTAGTGATTGGAAATTCAAGTGCCCTCGAGGGTATTTTCCCTGTCGTCAAAGGCCACGCCCTTGACCAGCAACCACCCGGCAACCCAGTCTCCCCCTCCCCGTGACAGCCATGAGTTGTGCCTGTTCCTGAGTCTCCAGCCCCAGGGAGGGTTTCCCTCTAAACCCACTGGGCAGATCTGGTCCCTGGTCTCTGTTGGGCAACTTCTTGCTGGAGACCTTCAGAAAGTCACTTAACCTTGGCTTCCTTCAATTGAAAAAATGGGATAGAACAGGAGCTACTGGATTAGGTAAGATAAATATAATTTGGGGGAAGAGGAAGTAGGAAGAAGGGAATCAATAGAATCGAAGGAAAGCGTCTGGGTCTGTCTTCGCTGAAAGTGACCCACGATGTAAGGACAAGAGCAGAGCAGGATTTATTGTGTTCACCACCTGGTCGCCTGTCCACAGCTCACACACCGTGGGTGAGAATACAGATCTGAAAGTAGGCAGATTAGGCTACAGCCTTGACTCAACACAATCAGCGTGTGACCTTGGGCAAGTCAGTTAACTGAGCCTCAGTTTTCTCATTAGTAAAGTGGGTCAATAACATTGCCCACCTCCCCAGCTTATTGGGAGGTTGAATAAAATTGTGCTTAGCCCAGTGATTTTCCTCTGCTGTTCCTTGCTTGTCTGAAGCCCCTAAGAAACTTTTGTGAGATGATCGGTGGTTTGGGCCATAGCCTGGAGCAAGGTTAGAGGCTCTAAGAGTGAAGAGCCTGGCCCAAAGCCCAGGACTTTTATCTTTAGGATTGAAAGATTTTGCCGCATCCACAAATGATGAATGGGTTTCAGTGCTGCATCATCGATAGGACTTAGTGTGGAGAAGGACTCTGGAGCTGCATCTAAGTGCTTCAAGGACGGACACCTTGACAGGTGAGAAGTGTCCCCCTGGGTGGAGGCAGGGCGCCGGGTGACAGGGCCACCACTGAAGGCTCCAACATCACCCCTTATAGATGGACAGACCGCGGTGCACAGAGGAGTCAGGACTTGCCTGGAACCACGAAGCAGATGGTGGCATGGGTAGCGTTTGAGTCCAGAAACTTCCTCAGCACAAGCAGCTGACAGTGTGGAGACTGGAAGGGTTCCCCTCCTTCCCGGTGCTCCCAGCACCACTTACCGCTTCCAGGAGGAGGGCGGCAGAACAACTTCTCCCTTCCCGAGCTACAGTGCTTCATCTCAGACTCCCAACTGACCAGAGATGCAGCACTGCACCTCAGGCTGGGAGACAGGGCGCCGGGCCTGCGGCAGGGAGTCTGGCCGAGGCAGGAGAGGGGCGGAGGGGCTCGGCTCCAGCGCCCGCTCCGGCCCGCAGACCACTGTACCTACTCCGCCTGTGTGCCCCGCCCTCAGCCTGGCATCAGAGCCCTCTTGGCCCAGCCTCGACTTTCCTTTTATTTTATTTTTTTTTAAAAAGAGCTGTATGGCAAGAAGGTCCCCTCACCCCCTTGAAAGTGTGCAATGGAATGGGATTTTAATACATTCACAAAGTTGAGCAGCCATCGTCACCATCAGTTTTAGAAGTTTTCATCCCTCCAAAAAGAAAGCTCTTACCATGGAGCCCCTCCCAGCCCCATCAGGCCCAGCCCTGGGCAGACCACGTTCTGTCTAGAGCTGCCTGTTCTAGATGTTTCGATAAATGGAGTCTTCCAATAGTTGGCCCCACGCCCCTCCTTCATGCTCTGTGTATCCCAGCACACAGTACTGTCATGGGATTTGATATTTTATACCATCGAACATCTGCCGTGGCCTCCTACCTGGTCTCCCTGCCTCTACCACCCCCAGCCCCCCATCCTTCCCACCCCTCCTTCCCTGCCGTCCTTGCTGAGTGATTTCTCACAAGGCAAATAAGGTCCTATCTCTCCCCTCCTTAAATCCCAAAAGGGCTTCCCCCGGCTTTGCTGCTTGGGGTAGGTCAGTCCCAGTGGCCCCCTGAGGCGGCAGCACCTGCCCGAGGCAAAGTGCTGCCTGGCTCTCCCGTGGGATTCTTCCAGACAGCGTTTGGCTGAGGAGGGATTCTGACGCCAGGACCAGCCTCAGGAGGCCCGGGCGGCCCACAGCCTGCCTCCTCCTCTCTCAGACGCCCCCGTCAGCCCTGTGGGAGAAAACGCTTGCCCGGTGCACGCGGAGGTTTCAGTGGGGAGCCAGGAAGGGTTGTTCCCAAAACGTGATCATCTGTTCCCAGGAACCAAGCAGATAAGCGCAGCCCCTGCATTCTATGGTGCGCAACGGTTTCCTCAAACCACCTGAACCACCTTTGACTCCCCGAGAACAGCGCAGGGGGTGAGCAATTCGGCCTAGAGTCTGTGGCCTCGGCATTAACTAGCTTGGGAAAACAGAGCGACTCAAGCCTGCCCGTTTGCTCTCAGTCCTGTCTCGCAGCGGGGACAAAGCCTCAGCTGGTGCTCGCCTGTCTCTGACACTTTTCTGGCTCCTGCGTATCAGCCTCAGGCCCAGAGCCCTGCAGGCCGCCCAGCAGGGTGAAGGGTGGTAACTGCTTCATTCCGCTGCCTGCCTTCTCCCTTCTTTCCTAATTAGGGTCAGTGTTCCAGTGTCCCTTTACGTAACTCTTTATACTGAGGTATTGATGACGCTCATCTTAAATTTTAAAATATTATCATGGTCTGCAGATCTGGCAAAAATTTATAAAAAGGGCATCTGAGTGACTGCTGTCTGGGAAGCCACGCTCTGTCCCGTGTGATCTTCAGAACCGCTGATGGGCCGGCAAGGTGAGGGGGACCAGGAAGGGGAGGAGACAGCCCCACCTGAACGGGGCTGGGGGAGGGGCGGGGAATGCCAAGGGCTATTTCCAGCACGGCCCCCGTCCCTCTGGACTTAGAACACTGCTGCCAGAGTAGCAGCTCTCCTGGGTGTGGAAGCAGGAAGTAGATGGAGCAGTCCCACGCTCCTGTGGAGTCACTCTGACGCAGGGACAGGGCTTGAGGCACAGCCTCTGACCAGGGAAGAGGCTTGCCTCCATTTCCTCTCTGGCTACAGGCTGCCTAGTTCCGTTCCTTTGTATCTAGGAAGATCATTCCAGTGCTGGCTGTGCTAGGAACAGTCATTTATTGAGGGATTTAATTGTGTGAATCTCCGTGCATCCCCATGGCTGCGTGGGAAGGGAACTTGCGGAGGGCAGGGAGCTGGGACTCCTCACTCAGAACAGCTGGCCCCGGCCCTCATTTTTAACCTCTATGCTCAGCATCTTCTCCCCTGACCGGTTTCCAGTCCTTTGAGTTTGGGATCTAACGGTTGCACCTGTCCGTTTGGCAAACTGAGTTTGTCTTCTACACGCTGAAGGGGAGACAGGACTAAACCCGATGGGGCCCTTGCCCTGGAGGAGTGTATTCAGCCTGAAATGGAAGGACGATGCCCCCAGCAAGGCAAACGGGGGCAGACCGGGTGGCACCAGAGAGCCCAAGAGAGGCCTACCAAGGGCTTAGAGGACAGAGAGGTTCCCACCCCTGGGCGGAGCAGGCAGGGCTTCCTGGAGGAGGTGGCGGTGCAACTGGGCAGGAAGGACCTGGCTCTCTAGTCCCTGGAACCCTTCCCTTGAGTCTTGTGTACCTGCCTGGCAGGCAGACCGCACTGGCCTTGACCCCTGGTCTCCTTCAAATGAGACCTCACTGAGAAGGAGGTTGGTAGCCCTCCTATTTCACTTACCCCACGAGAGGCTCCCTCTCACTCTGAGTCCCTTGTCAGGAGACAGGGACCACTGGGGGAACTCAGGTTCCACCACCTACTGGCGCAGTCACTTGTCACAGGTGCGTCTCCCTCCCTGCGGTTCTGTTTCCCTTTCTGTCCAAGGAAGCCACTGAAGAGGCGACCTCAGCACCTTACCTGGTGCCGGCTGTGGGCAGGCTGGGGGTTGCTCCCAGAGGGTGAGCCCGTTTCTCCTCCCTGCTCCCCACTGTCTCCAGGAAATGTCGCCGAGCCTGGGGGAACCTCTGTCTTCTGTCGGGAAGCTCTGGGGAGTCTGGGAAGGAGAAAATAAACAGTGGCTGTCTGGGTTTTCTCGCCAGGCCTGAGCCAGGAGGCCTCCCTGGCTCCTTCCCTTATATGGCCAGGCCGCTCTGGGCTGGGAGCCTGCCGCTGGCTCCCCCACCCTGCGGCGCCGGTGAGGGCTGGGGGCCACTGCGGGTCGCCTGGGACTCTGGGGCTGCAGGGGCTGGGGCAGGGCTGAGGGCAGAGGGCAGGACCCAGGACGTGTCCCCGTAGTTGCCTGTACAACCTGGCCCCCTGTGGCCTCTGGGCTGCTTGGGGTGGCCCAGGTAGGAAGAGTTACAGTGGGACACAGGGTGGAAAGGAGGGAACGCACCTGGCCCTGGCTGAGCCCCCAGCTCATCGTGTGACCCTGGCCGGACCCGTCCCCCTCCTGGCCTCTGTTCTCTCTGTGCCGAACGAGGGCATGGAGAATCCTAACCAACCCTCACAGTCAGCCTCATCAGTTGGGAGCTTCCGTATCCCCATTCCACAGAAGGGAAAACAGGTTTGGGAAGGCTAACTGGACCACAGCTATTTAGCAAAAAGGGAGCAAGGCTGGATTTGAACTTGGGGCTGCCCGACTTCAGGGGCTGTGCTCTGAGCGGGAAGGTTGCTAAGGCTCCTCTCGATGATAATATTCAACTACTCATTTGCGCCACATGGAAAAGGGATTCTGCTGTAGCTACTCCCCTGGGAGACCAGGGAGGCCCCAGTGCCCAGTGACCAGCCCAGAGGACACTGTTCCATTAAGCAATGGGGCAGAGGCTCACTTTGGGGTCCCCAGCCCCTCTCATAGGGCCTGGGGCAGACTCAGGGCTCAGGAAAGGGGAGCCGAGGAACCGCTGACTGACTGAGCCTCAGGAGCCCCTCCCTCTGTTCTGTGGGCACAGCCTCCACACTCCCAGGTACATTCTGAGGAGTAAACGAAACCAGGGGTGAGAAAACCCTGAGGGGCCACCTTGTCAATGGCATTTTCTTTCTGTTCACAAGTTCCTTCTTCCCTCTCCAGTGCCTGCCTGTGTCTCATCCTGCAGGCCACAGTCTCCTGAGCTGACCAGTCCCTGCTCAGCTCAGCTGTGGGACCCAGATGAGGGTGCTTCTGCTCAGGGCCTGGGCTCTGGCTTCAGAGACCGTGGGAGAGGCTGCGGGAGGGGAGGCGGGTGGAGGGGGGTGGGGGTGGGCTGCTGGGAACAGCTCAAAAATGAGCCTCACACAAGCACTCACATCCTGTGTGCTCTTAAGCTAGCCCTGGAACCTCCCTCAGCCCATCCATCATCGTGGCATCCCTTCGGACCCTGGCCCTCTTCCGGGGGCCCGGGGGTGGGTGGAGGGGGGCCGAGGACTGACTGTCAGTGTGGCCGAGACACCGCAGCTGGCAGCTCTGTAGGCCTGCTCAGTGTCTGAGCGGGACAGTGGCGGGAGGAGGCGCCCGCGGCCCTCCTAATCCAATTTGTTTAGACGCAGTCTCGGAGGCTCGCTGGCCCGCGGGAGAGGGCCGGATGTGTGTGCCGTGCCGGGGTGCACGTTTGCACACACGTGTGGGGCGTGCAGAGGTGAACAGGTGTGCCGCATTATCTAAGCCAAGCCTGGGCCTTGTCACACGTCCCTGGAGTGTCAGCCCCTGGCCTCCTCTGCTCACCTCCAAGGCTTTCTCCGCTTTTTCCATTCTTAGAAGATCTAGTGCCAGAAGCCCCCTCTGCAGCAGGCTGTCCGTGCCGTTCTGAGTTAGTTCCTTCGCCTCCCTGGGCCTCCGTTTGTCTACCTGTCTTACAGAGCTGGTATATCACCTGGCCTGCTCCACGCGCAGGGTCCTGAGAACTAGCAAGCGTGGGAAGAACAAGATGGACAGTAGAAAGAATCGCTATGGTTTTGCAATGGTCACCAGGGCACATGCCTGACCTTATGGGCCCTGTCATAGCCTCGTGTGCTGGTTCTGTCATCACCAGGCTCTCTCCCTGACGTCTACCTGTTTCCAGAGCCCGACCCTGTTGGTGCCTTTCTGGGAAGACGGGCATCGTTCTCCACACCCCCCAAGTCCTCTGACCCCTCTGCAGCATGCAGGCTTCGCACTCCTAGTTTGTACGGACCATGGGGTGGAGCGGATATTGGGCCCCTGGTTGTTTTTGCCTCTGTTGGTCTCACTAGTTGTCACCTACAACCCAGACCGAACAGCCCCAAATTGCCTGCACCCCATCAACAAGTAGGGGCCTTTCGTCACCTCTTCCCCCTCTGAGGCCTGGTTTCTTGTTCATTCTGAGGGTTGGGATGGGGAGAGCATCCCGTGGGCCTGGGGTTACCACAGGGGGCGCCATCAGGGTGGGTGTGGAGGAGCGCAGGTGGGAAGCACTCACAGTGGCATTTCCAGGGCCCCTCTTGCCTGTCCTCCTCAGGTCCTCAGGAGGCCCCTCTCCAGGGTTTTTGCTCCTCCAACATCGGAGTGATAGGGGCGACTCCTGCCAGACAGTGCCCTTTCCTGAAAGGAACAAAGGTACCACCTGTCAGAAGATGCTGGGCCTTTGTGGGTCGTAGCCAGGCTGCCAGGCTCCGGGGGATTGAGGATGGATCTGGGTTGCTGCTGGTTCCTTGGAAGCCGCAGACCAAACCTGTTGAGATTTTCCAGGCCTCAAAGAACCTGCTTCTCAGGCCCCAGGCAGCCACTATTCCCGCTTTGCCTGCCTGGCTTTCAAAAGGGGTCTTTGAGCAGCTCCAAGCTCCATGAGGTGGAGGGGCCTCCCCAGCCTGAGCACACCCAGGCCCTGTCAGTGAAAGAACGAGCCTCATGGAAATTTCCCAGAGGCCCCCGGACCCCACCTCCAGCCTCACACATTGGAAAAGAGCCACTTAGGGGTAGATCAAAACTTGGGGTTAACACAGTGGCCAAGACCGAAGGGACAGCCCTGGGCCACCTGTGACCACTTCCAGATGCACAAGGTTTGCAGCCTGCAGAAAGCTCCCTCCCATGACTCAGGGAGCACTCACAACCACCACTGGAGATAGAAACAACTTCCCTGCTTACTGATCTTCAAAGAAGCTCTACTATGTGCCCAGGGTCAGTACCAGAGGCCAGCTTGAACCGTTCACACTCAATCCAGCTGTCTCCTTAAGTTGGGCAGCGGCCGGCTAGATGACCATCAAACAAAGCTCACGTCAGCACGGTCATTGCAAAAGCCCCAGTGCCCTTTCCTGGCCTTGCTTATTTCCAAGAAACATGAGGGGCTGGGGCTGGGCCACATCTGTGAGCCAGATGGCACCGCCGGGGGAGAGCTGAGGCTGCGGCTCCCGGCAGGCGCACCAGCCCACGCCCACACTGGTTCTTTCTGGAGGGGTTTCCTTGCCGACAGCGCCCCTTCCTCAGCTCCCTGACCCCTGTGTGTGTACGAGGGCCCCAGGGCCCTCCACCAAGGATAGAAAAGACCCAGACTCTGGAGCCAGGCTGACCTGCATTGGAATCTCACCCTAACGCTCTCCAGCTGTGTGATCTAGAGCGAATGGCTTCACCTCTCTGAACCTTGGCTTCCAACCTCACAGTTGTGAAGGTAGAACGTCAAGTGTGAGCACAGTTGCTGGCACATAGTAAGCCCACAATAAATGGCTGCCGTTTCCACTACGCGCACAGGGCTGTGCTCACCATGAGGCCCAGGCACAGGAAGGGGAGAAGCGAGGAGGATGGGGCAAAGGCCCAAAGTGGCGCCCAGGGAAGACATGGAAGCATTTGTGGGAGCCACCGCGTGGGGCCCTTTCCACGTCCGCTCCGTGTGTGGCTTCTCTGGGCTTCTGTTCCCAGAGTGCCCTCCCATCCCCTTGACACCCCAGCCGAGTTCACCAGCCTCACACGCTCCCCATTTCCTCCCCAGGGAAGGTCGCTGCCTGGGGACTTTGGAGCAAGCCCTGGGAACGCAGTTTGAGGCGGAAACAAGAGTGATGCAGGCAAAACGCAAGAGCAGGAGAGAAAGGGGCCCAGACCTAGAATCCCAAGCCCTGCTTGAAGTAGCTGGGACTCTGGGAGAGTGAGAGTAGAGACAAACATCCCCATGACCCTGACCTTCAGTGAGAACAAACACTGGGAAAACGGTGACAATGACAATGGCTACCCTCTATCAGGCTTACCCTGGGACACGCACAGTCAAGCAATGGCTAATGTGTTGGGTGTTAGAGCTAACTCGCCGGAGGCTTTCAGTGTTCTCCACACTTGCACAGCTCTTTCGTCCACATCGGTTTTCTCCTCTGCTCCTTACAGCCACATGAGTTAGGTGCCATTTTTATTCCCATGGTACAGATGAGGAAGCTAAGGCTCCTGGAAGTTACAGCGCTCCTCCCAGGTCTCACGGCTAGGAAGCCTCAGGGCCAGGGTTGGCTCCCGGCAGCCTGCCATGCATTTCCACGGCTCCCTTGTAAGATCAGACAATGCATGACATCATTCTGACAGAGTGACAACCTGAGTCGGTATCTCATGGTACCGGTGCGTTAGAGTCCACATGCAAAGGAGGTTGTGAACAGAAAAAGTGGAGGCCATGTGGGCCCCTGGCAGGGGCTGCCTGTGGCCAGAAGCAGGGGGCCTCTCATTTTCATTGTTGTTATACCTCTTTCCCACAGAAGCTCTCCCTCGTGTGTCGTCTGTTTGCTTAAAAAAACCAAACCAAAACAAACACCATAATAGAGGAGTTGGTTCTCCCTTCTGCCCTGTCCACTTTGTAAAGATCCGGGGGCTCCTGGGTCCCAGTTCGCTGGGACTGAGAGGCGCCTTTGAATAATGTGAATGCTGGTGTCGCTGGGAATGTGTTGGGTGGGAAAAGCAGCAGCTTAGGCACCAGGTCTCCTGTAGATGTGCTGGGTGATCGTAGATAAGTGTCTTCCCCTCTCTGGGCTCATCATGGTGGTGGGAGAGGACTGGACTCCATGTGTCCAGAGTCTTCTCAGGGTCAAATGTGGGGTGATGGTTGGACCCCACTCTGTCCCCCTCGTGGTGTGTGTCAGTGTGAAGGTGAATGGTCTGTATAGATCTGCTTGGGGGTGGAGTGTGTGTGTGTGAGAGAGAGACAGACAGACAGACATGAGGCAGAAAGCATTGAGACTGGAGCTCCCCCAGCTGCCTCTCACTTCCTTTGCCCCCATTCCACCCCTACAGCTCAGCCCAAGCAGCCCCAGTGAGCTGGAGCAGATGGATTTTCTACAACAGGACTTGATGTCTCAGAGCGTTAGCGCTGGTTTCACATGCATTGTTCAGATGAGGAGGCTGAGGTCCGGGGTGAAGGAGCAAGGAGCTCAAGGTGATGTAGTCAGTCGGAGGCCCAGCTGGGACTGACCCCTTCTACACACTGAGGGATCCTAATGGCTCAGATCTTAACAAAGAGGCCCCGCAGGAAGGAGGGAGAGAGGAGGCCCTTAAGTTCCTTTGGCTTTGAACATGGAATAATCATGACTTCCTTTTCCAAATATCTTTTGGCCCTTCCTAGAACCAGATGGCGGATGTTTGGAATTTATGTTGTAAATAGTGTTTAAGAAGGGAGTGGGGGTGCAGATATGTTTCTTTCTCCAACCACCAAAAACAAGATCCAAGGGAGGGAATGGGGGAGGGGAGCGACCTCTGAGAAGATTTGGGCAGAAGGGAGAAGCCAAGGGGAAGGAAGAGAGAGGAGAGAGAGAGGACAGAGGAAGAGAGATTGATGGAGTGATAGTGAGAGCAAGACAGAGAGGCTGAGAGGGGAAGACACAGGGAAGGGAGCGAGGGCAATGGCGAAGCGGGCGGAGGAGAGAAGGTGGGTGCGGGCAATGGGAAGGGGGCTCTCCTGGTTCAGGCTCCATCTTGAGTTCAGGAGCAAACCCTTGAGTTTTCTAAAAATAGCTCAGCCCCTCCCCCAGTAGGGCTGGCAGCAGGGACCAAGAGAGGCACACTTGTCCATTTATGGTAAGAAAATTCCAGATCTTCAAGGGGGAGCTGGGCCTGAGCTTATAGTTCTGGATAAAACCCAGCCCAGGGGTCTGGGGTAGGACAGGGCTGGGTGAGGGTTGTGACTTGGTGGGATTTCCTGGCCTGGGTGGCCCCACCCTTAGTGAAGAAAATGCTGAGGTGGCAACACTGGAGCCCCAGTGCTGGGGTGGAAGGGCTCCTAGAGACAGCTAGTTTACCTCACTTTCCTGTTTGATAGAAAAAGAAACCGAGTCCCAGAGAGCAGAAAAGATTGTAGGCTCCCCATGTAGGGGTTTGAGGTATCAAGATAAATCAGTGCCCAGGTCCACGCAGGGATGGCTTAGTGCCCATTATTTTGGAGGGCAGTGTGATCACTGGAGAGAGCGCTGGTCTGGGCTTCAGGAGACCCAAGGCCCACCCCCTGTTCGCACATGGTTTGCTGTGTGACCTTGAGCAATCTGCCAAACCTCTCTGGTCTCAGATCCCCTCACTTGTGCTCTTAAGGGCCTTCCCAGCTTATTGACTCCCTGGGAATTCCAAGGCTGGAGAGCAGGGCTTGGGCACAGAGGATGCTACTTCCAGGCAGGGCACAGTCTGCAGGCTGTTGTTTTCTTGCTGTGCCTGGCCTACTTCCTGTGCTGAGACAAAAGCTAAGATGGACCAAGACAGAGAGAGAGGAGGTGCTACGGGAGACTGGGATAGATTAGGGATGGAATCTCTGGCTGTCCAAGCTGGTTGGGTCCAGGACCTTACTGGACACATTGAGGCCAGAGAGGACCTTATGTTCAAGATCATCCTCAAAGTCATGTGGAAAGTTGGGGCAGAGCCAGGAATAGAACCAAGGGCTTTCCCTCCCAGCCCTGGGCTCCTTCCTCTATAGAGAGCCTCCGATCTGCAGCAGCTGGCAACTTTGGGGACAATCTCTGGCTGGGAAAAGGGCCTTCTTGGACAGAGCAGCCAGGACTCAAGATATGTCTCCATCTTCTGACTCCCTCTTAAAGATAGTAATGTCCTGGCAGGTCACCTGCAAAGACCATACCCTGGTCTCATCTCTGACTAGAAGGCAGGGGAGGAGAAGCAGGACACCCAGGGCTGGCAGCCACTCTGGCAGGGCAGTGGTGTCGGTCGTGGGTTCTGCATCTGTAACACAAGGATGTGGCCTTGATGATGCTCTCGACAGGACTTTCAGCTCTACAGGACTGTGGCACTTGGAGTTTAGGACTAGACACCAGGGAAGTTTATTAAGCATGCACCAGGTTCACCAGGGTGAACAAGATGGATCTAATCCTACTCTGCTGTTTCGCAATGTGTTGAATGCCCAGGGTTCCCGGTAGCCCCAATCCTGAGACTCTCTGTTAATTCTGGGGACCTGGGCTGACTCTCTGACTCCAGCTGCAACCCACAGCTCAGGTAGCTCTGATCTTGAGTGTCCAAGGATGCCCGGTGGCCTGACCGATGTTCATGCCCACCCCCGGGACCCTGCCCAGGCCTGGCTACCCTCTTGACTTTGCCCTTCCCCGCACCCTGTCCCATATAGCTGCTCACCTGCCCTAGGTCCTGCCTGG